GTACCCCATGTAACCAGTGTGATGCACTGTGTTTTTTGTGAAATTCCCCAGTGTGCATGACATCAAATGTTCCCCAAAATATCATTTTTCTTTGCAAAATGATAAATTACCGTCCCTGAACATGTCTATGTAAAAGTAATTACCAAATTCCACTTACTTTGGGTGTGAGGGCGTGGACAAGGTGGGCTGTGACGTCATCAGGGGCTGGTCGCCCGTGTGTGAAGCTCCCAGACACGGTCGCGCGGGCCATTCAAGCACTGCATGTTGCCACAAATATATTTTCAAATATTTTTTCTATGCATTTCCAATGCGGTTTTATTTGTTTCTTTTATCGTATATGATGCATATTTGTGACCTTTACAATATGTATACAGTAGAATGTTCATAATTTTCCATGAAACTGTGATACATGTGTCAGTAATGTGTCCACAATAAATGTTTATTGTCACAATATTACGTGGTAAAAATTCACTAAAATTACAATATGTACAGTTTCACATACTATTTACACAGTAACACACTGTATTACACACTCAGTACTTTGGAGGTGCATAATAGTCAACGAAGTAGTCCATGGTGCACAGCGCGACTTTGCTCTCCTTGCACCAGCTACAGATAGATTTTCGTTTTCTGTTTCATCGTTCTGTGTGCTTGCAAATAACGCACTCGCGTGCACCCTTGGCTTTAGTACTTGTAGGTGGTATGTAGCCAAGCTTGTAAAGCATAAAGTAGTATTGAAATGATTATAGGAAAAGCTCAGTTTGTAAGGTAGTCTTGAAAAGATCGCTTTGTAAGGTCCCACACAGGAAGAGATTCAGCTAGCCTCAAAGAGTGTCCATCAGTCAGGAAGAGATTCAGCTAGCCTCAAAGAGTGTCCGTCAGTCAGGAAGAGATTCAGGTATTCTTGAAAATATCAATGAACACCACCACCATGGAAGCCGCTAACACTGTTCATCTATGCTACTTGTATCAGATGCATCATCATTGAACGCAGAAAACGATTCATCTATGTATCATCTATATACATTAGAGATGGCAAGGGTGGGGCTCAGAGCTACACCTGGATACGCTCGCTGTATCATCCTCATAGGTGCTGCATCACTGGCATCCGACCGTTGTGTTAAGCCCTTATTGCGCCTAGCTTCACCAATGTTATGACCCCTTGTTCTAAAAACAATAGGGTCTGAATTGCACCGATTGAGCGCAGTCTTTCAACACCGTGTGGGACAGGTGTTTGAGAGCCAGAGGCACGTGTGCTACAAATGGTTGCTCACGCATTACAAACCCAGCCAGCAGCCCTTGTCTTTCATATTCGTTATAACAAAAGGTTCGTTCAGTGTTTGTCGGGTAGGCTGCTCCATTATGACAATCTTTCTTTGTTTCAAATGTGTTCCATTTGTTTTGTATTTGTCACTTACGTCTCAATAATGGAGCAGCCTACCCGACAAACACTGAACGAACCTTTATGGCATTTGTCCATTTTTCAAATTGTTTCAACAGTTCTTTTATTTTTCGTTTTTTTTTATTTAAGAAACATGGAGTAGCCGACCTGTAGACCACCGAATGAACCTTTTTGACATTTGTACTGGTTTTCAAAATTCTTCATTTTTTTTATTATTTACGTTTTTTGTATGTAAGAAACATGGAGCAGCCTACCTGCCGACCACCGAACGAACCTTTTGCTATAAGACAAATGAAAAATAAATATTGAACACATTTGAAGAAAGGAAAATGTCATAATGGTTTATTCAGTGTATGTAAGATAGGCTTCTCCATTATTGAGACGTAAATGAAAATTACAAAACAAATGGAACACATTTGAAACAAAGAAAGATTGTTATAATGGAGCAGCCTACCTGCCGAACACTGAACGAACCTTTTTGACATTTGTTGTATATCAGACATTTCATTTCTTTTTTCCTACAAAAACGTCAATGCTTTGCAACATCTCAGCAGTCACCCTTTTATATCCCAGCATCATTAGCATCTTTAAACAAGAACAACATAATTTATGTGCATCGTCGGAGGCGTCTAAGAATGTGCAAGAAGCAGCACGACCCCACCGTGTGGTGTTGACGTTACTCAAACCAGCGTTCGTCATACGGGACGATTTGATGCTGATCGGGCCGTTCGTTACCCAAAATGTTCGTCTTTTGGGGCAATCGTTATGCGAGGTACCACTGTGTATATATATATATATATATATATATATAGAAGTGCATTCTGGCTACTAGGTACGACATATATATATATATATATATATTCCGCATATATATATATATATATATATGTCGTACCTAGTAGCCAGAACGCACTTCTCAGCCAACTATGCAAGGCCCGATTTGCCTAATAAGCCAAGTTTTCATGAATTAATGTTTTTTCGACTACCTAACCTACCTAACCTAACCTTACCTAACTTTTTCGGCTACCTAACCTAACCTAACCTATAAAGATAGGTTAGGTTAGGTAGGGTTGATTAGGTTCGGTCATATATCTACGTTAATTTTAACTCCAATAAAAAAAAATTGACCTCATACATAATGAAATGGGTAGCTTTATCATTTCATAAGAAAAAAATTATAGAAAATATATTAATTCAGGAAAACTTGGCTTATTAGACAAATCGGGCCTTGCATAGTAGGCTGAGAAGTGCGTTCTGGCTACTAGGTACGACATATATATATATATACATATACATACATCATACATACATACATATATATATATATATATATATATATATATATATATATATATATATATATATATATATATATATATATATATATATGTATGTATGTATGTATGTCGTACCTAGTAGCCAGAACGCACTTCTGAGCCTACTATGCAAGGCCCGATTTGCCTAATAAGCCAAGTTTTCATGAATTATTTTTCGGCTACCTAACCTACCTAACCTAACCTAACTTTTTTGGCTACCTAACCTAACCTAACCTATAAAGATAGGTTAGGTAGGGTTGGTTAGGTTCGGTCATATATCTACGTTAATTTTAACTCCAATAAATAAAAATTGACCTCATACATAATGAAATGGGTAGCTTTATCATTTCATAAGAAAAAAATAATAGAAAATATATTAATTCAGGAAAACTTGGCTTATTAGGCAAATGGGGCCTTGCATAGTAGGCTGAGAAGTGCGTTCTGGCTACTAGGTACGACATATATATATATATATATATATATATATATATATATATATATATATATATATATATATATATATATATATATATATATATATATATATATATATATATATATATATATACAGTATGCAGAGGTAATTTTAATACAGTATAACCATTAAAATCATGTAGTGTACTCTGTGTAATAAAGTACTGTATATTACTTTGGAAAACATACCAATCACTAAAAAAAAAATTGGGCTACTCTTATTACAAATTCGCTACTTTTAGACCGTCAGCTCGCTACTTTAAGCAATTCGGATTTGGCAACCCTGGCAAGATGGTGCCAGAGCCAGGAATGCTACAAGGCTGCTGCCACCTGTTAGTGGTCAATAGCCATACAGTGTTAGGAACACTGCTTCTTGTGTGATCAGTGAAGTTAAGCAGTGATGGATTTGGTTAGTACTTGGATGGGTGACTGCCTGGGAACACCAAATGCTGTTGGCATTAAATTTTATTACTGCCAGAAACATTATCTAACACAGTACAGAGTTATAAATCAAATCAAATTTCATCTAAGATTTAATAGTGCAGCCAACATACGAGTCTTAAATACTCATCTTTCATCTAAGAAAGACAGAAATGAGAAACAATTAACATTTAGTGGGCCGGTTAGAGGCTTAGGGCCCATATGGGAATATCCCTATAAAAAAAAAAAGAGCTGTTGGTGTTCAGTCATAACTAAGAGAGTTCGAGCTAGTTTTTAAGTCATCGTTTGGTTGCCTGTATTGCTTCGCTTACTTTCTAGATGTTTTGGTTAGGATGATCGTAACAATTCCCAGCTCCTTTTGCTTCAATGAGGTGGGGGGGTAGGGGTAAGATTCTAGCTCTGTTCCCTGATAAGCCATACAGGACTCATATAACTGATGCAGCTCAGTAAGGGGGGAAGCCATCGGAGTGAGAAGCAGCAAGGATCCACCAAGGCCCTACCAGAAAGAGGCTTTGGTGGATCCTGGTGACCTGGTGGAGGCCCTACCAGGTGTTTTATTACATTTAACGCTGGATTCTATTGCTATCAAATTACAGACTTGATGAATAATGGGAGTTAACTTCCATTACCTGGGCATGCTTTGGTTAATGGGGGTCAAGAACTAGAAAACAAAAATAGAAAACTGGTAAAACAAAAAAAGAAAAGCTGGTTAGCATCTGTGGGTAACTTAAATGTTATAAAATACTTCACTATTAACCCTTGAAATGCATTTTGGATAAATCTAGCATTATCTACATTATCTATACCTGTATTGTTAAAAATCATGCCCTAAGTGTAGGAAAAATGTCAAGAAATTGTTCTCTTTTTTTTCTCTCTCTCTTGGAGATGGTAGATGTTTACTGGAGGCCTCGATTACCAGTTGGGAACCTTGTGTATGTATCAGCATGAGTTTTAAATGTTGCTTCATCATGTTAAATGTTGCAACATCAGAGGCCCGAGACTGTTCAACACGCTTCCAATATACATAAGGGGCATAACTGGCCGACCTATCACAGTGTTCAAGAGAGAACTGGATAAGCACCTCCAAAGGATACCTGATCAACCAGGCTGTGATTCGTACGTCAGGCTGCGAGCAGCCGTGTCCAACAGCCTGGTTGATCAGTCCAACAACCAGGAGGCCTGGTTGACGACCGGGCCGCAGGGACGCTAAGCCCCGGAAGCACCTCAAGGTAACCTCAAGGTAACCTCATATGTGTACTATGGGTCGATCTTCTCATGATATGCACATTTCAGGGGTTTTAAAGGTGGGCAGCATTTGATGAAAGCTTGATAAATCAAACAAACTTAATTCAGTATTTTTGTTTCAGGCTCTGTATCATTGATGATAGAGAGAGCCAGCATGGGTGCCACAATGGCCATTCACCTGATACCACTTATATTCATCTTTGCACCCCTCACACAGCCTACAGGTAAGCTCCATACTGGTCAAATTATGTAATTCTATTTATATGTGCTTTCTTTACATTTGCATACATGGAGAGGATGCTTGAACAGTAAGGAAAATTGGCAAGAGTGAAGCACAAGGCGCTGAATGTGTTGTATTTTACTGGTATTTAAAGTGATTTTTCAAGTGGTTTTGTAGGTGACAACATAACTATGAATGTAAATGCAATACATAGTCAGTTGGTGGTGGGGCAAAAAGGTACATCCTATCCACCAGCAAATGTGGTGCTGAATATAGCTGTGGTGAATTGAGATCTGCGCCACATAAATGTGTTTTATATGAAAATACTGAGCTGGAAGCATTAATCGTTTCCTCCTTAACTTTGTGTTAACCTTGCCTGTTCTGTTCTCGCTATGTTTTCTCTTTAGAATTTAAGTTTACATTTAAGGCTTCATCTTCAGGTTTTAAGAAGTAAAACAATAATTAACAGAATTGATACTTAGTTAAGTAAGAATGAATTTAGTGAGTGATAGTTAAGGTGACGTAGACACATTCTGTTCTTATCAAATAATATACTGTATACATGGAAGGTGCTGGAAGCCCAAGTCCCAAATTTGCTCACTGGAATAGCAACATAGAGGGCCTGACAGCTCAGTGGACAGCGCTTCGGATGCATTGTCCTGAGGTTCCGGGTTCGATCCCCGGGAGAGGCGGAAACAAATGGGCAGTTTCTTTCACCCTGATGCACCTGTTCACCTAGCAGTAAATAGGTACCTGGGAGTTAGACAGCTGCTTCGGGCTGCTTCCTGGGGATGTGTAACAAAAAGGAGGCCTGGTCAAGGACCTGGTCATGGAAACGCTAAGCCCTGAGATCACCTCAAGATAACCTCAAGATAGTGGAGCTAAAGATATAAGAGGTAATGCATAATAGAACCAGTGAAGAGTAGAGGTGTCATAGGCACAATCCGTACAAAAGCACCTTCTCTTGTCCTGCCTGGAGCAGTTTACAGTCCCCGTGGTACAGTGGTAACTCACTCGCCCCATGCTTCGTGCGATTTGGGCTGGGTTTCTATCATGGCCAAGGAGGATTAACTACGTGTAACGCCTTAACTGTACGCATCTGGTCACCCAGCAGTGAATGGGTACCTGGTTGTTAAACGATATGGCAGGTTGTATTCCAAGGAAAGTTAAGATTAAGGACCTGCCCGAAATGCTATGCATGTTAGTGGTTTTAAAAGAATGTTAGAACTCTTGTATATTGTGTATACAAAAAAAAAAAAAAAACAGAGAGCACTGTATGAACATAGCAGTCCACAGTTCTGTACTCTCCCAGCAGGCATAAGAAATATTGCAAAAACAAAGTGGAGTTCTTCAAGAAGCAATTACATACAGTACATAAATTCCTGCAAGAAGTGCCGGACCAACCAGGCTGTAGTGAATATGTTTCTCTCCAAGCAACAGCCTGCTGAACCAAGTTATCACAAGTCAAGCCTGGCCTGGGGTCAGGCTCGAGGAGTAGAAGAATTCCCAGAACCCTCTCCTAGTAAACTCTAGGTAAACTGGAGCAGTAACATAATACAGGATGGACACATCCTGTTGTTGGTACAGGAACATAATACAAGATGGACACATTCTGTTGTTGGTACAGGAATATAATACAGGGTGGACACATCCTGTTGCTGGTACAGTAATATAATACAGGGTGGACACATTCTGTTGTTGGTACAGTAATATAATACAGATGGATGCAAGTAGAGTACAACCTTGATTCAACAAACTGTATGGGGACTAACCCCAGTTCGTTGCGGTGAGTAATTGTTGCAACCGTAGATGCCTCCAGGATACATTTCCCATGCCCTATGGGCTATAATTTCACTAAGTAAAATTTTAATTTCAACCTTTAATGTAATAGACTACTACCAAATGAGCATGTCTGCAAATTTTGTTTTACCAGGCGTAGCTTATCTCACATCCCCAGCCTCAAAACTCATTTCTGAAAGGTAGCAAGGCCATACCTGGGTTGCAAAGGTTGCAACAACATAGGCACAATCAGAGAACACTGTATAAACATCAGAGGTACACGGTTGTTCAACATCCTCCAAGCGAGTATAAGAAATATTGCCAGAACAACTGTGGACATCTTCAAGAGAAAACTAGATAATTTTCTTCAAAGAGTGCTGGACCAACCGGGCTGTGGTGGATATGTGGACCTGTGGGCCGCTAAAAGTAACAGCCTAGTGGACCAAGCTCTCACAAGTTAAGCCTGGCCTCGGGCTGGGCCTAGGGAGTAGAAGAACTCCCAGAACCCCATCAAGCAGATAAGCAGGTATACCTGAGTGAACAAAAGCCTTGTCAGCTCAAACTCAAAACAAACCATAGGATTTGGTTTTAAATATCCTCGATAGCTTTCTCAAGGTTCCAACTGTTTCATGTAATATTGAGTCCATCTACAACAGTACTGTAATAAAAAATGTGATTGGAGCCATATTATGTGTTGCCATTCATACCCTAATATTTCTCATGCTCTATGGGCTGATTTCACCGAGGGGGAATTTTAATTTCAACCTGTTATATGAAAGACAACTACCAAGAGAACTTGTATGTAAAGAGATTTATTTAAATCTAATAGATTTCACTGATGCCCTAGCCTTGAAATCTCATTTTCAAAGAGAAACAAGACCATATTTTACTGAAGAAAAAACCTCTGCTGACTAAAAAAGATCCATATAATTTGGTATTAACACTTTCGTGCTCTGGGTGCACGACCTCCCCACTACCCTGGGTGGGTTTGGGCATTCCACGGGAGTGCGCGGTAATTCTGAAAAGTGTATACTCTTTTTCAACTTTGTCACCTCAATTCTCATCCTAAGATATTGAATTTGGTATCAATGTGTTCGCAATAGAATTCTCTAGAGGAGTAAATGCATATAAACTCCAAAAGCCTGGCTTATCGCCCGCAGCAAACAGAGAAAGTGCGAGCGAGTGACCCGGGAGCACGCAAGAGTGATAAAATGTATACACTCTTTTCACTTTGGTCACCTCAATTTCCGTCCTAGGTCTTTCATTTTGGTATCAGTGGGTTCGCAATAGAATTCTCTAGAGGAGTATATGCATATAAAATAAAAAACCTGGTCACTCTCCACCCGCTGACAAGTTGAAGATGCTTCCACTTGAAGATGGACCAAGTGTTACCCGCGAGGGAGCGCCCAGAAGCCCACTTGCTACACCCCCAATTCCCACCCACAAATGTTTAGTATATTTTCCGGTTGCTAACATCAATTTTCGTGTTACAGCGCTCATTTTGGTGTGAAATTTTTTCTAATAGAATGCTTTAGATGGATACATGCATATTAGGGCAAATTGAAGAACAATATTGCAAATACAATATGTACAATAAAGTATAAACAACAATATAAACTATAAATACTAAAACTTTTTGTACTTACCAATTCAGTTTTGTTTGTAGAGCATGACATGGGTTGAATATTACTTTTATCCACTTCACCTGCAGCAGGAAAATGTTTCCTGAAGAGTTAACCCTTGAGGAAAGTAGCCGAAATGTTCACACGTTCGAGACGCGAGGGGAGGTGACACCGGTCACAACAGTGGAGCGTAAACAGTGGGCCTACGGCGTGGGCCGAGCCGCCTGGGTGCCAAATGGCCTACCAAAGGCGGCGCTCAGTTTAAAATCAGTCCCCCCAAAATCAGATAAAAAACGTTTTTTTTGGCAAATATTTTAATGGAGGACTCAATGCTGAGTCCTTACTGGACTTCCATCTATTTAATGGAGGACTCGATACTGAGTTGTCGCCGAACGAAATTGTTAAATATGCTGAATGGTTTTCCCAAGGCCCTAACTATTTCTTGTAATGTTGCTTCCATCTATGACCTTAGTCCCAACATTCTTAGCAAATCTACACATCGCCTACTTCAGCAAACCTTTATTCATTGAATTAGGTGAATAAATCTGGCACGGAAAGTGTGTGTTCCAACTGGAGAATCACTGAATCGAGGTTTGTTGATTTGAGGTTCCATTGTATTAGTATGTTTCTTTTGTGTACTTTGCTTAAAGTAAGGTAATAATTGCTACTTTTTTTTTTTTTTGTACTTCACAGGGAGTCAAATGATAAGAGAAATGACCATAGTTGGTGAGAATGAACCAGTTGCTGGAACAAATGTCACCATTAGCTGCAAGGGTCGGGGTGACTACCTACAGTGGCTTCATGGCCACCATAATATTACGTAAGTGCGCATTATTCTCAACATTTTCTTGACCTTCGTATGTGCTACAAAGTCTTTCTGGCATGGTGCCTTCTTTTGATAATTACAGTACTTACTTTGCATTTTATTTTCTGTATTTTCTTTCCAGATAGTAACATGAGATTAACTTATCAGATTAAGACTTGTATATTGACTTTCTCTACCATTCTCTTTACACGACTTGATAATGGCCCAGGATGGACCAAAATGTCATCACTTTCTTTATTTTGAGAGGTGTGGGTTCTGAGTCAAATTTTCAGCCACATTAATGTGATTTACTCTCTGCTTATCATATTAATTTTTTGGGCAAAAATTTTGCAAAGTTGGGTGTACAATATACTATCAAGTAAAGATAGACCATACAAAAACATAATGGTCTATCTTGATTGTACAAGTAAAGATCGACCTTTCTCTTGATTTGCCACTCAGTGAATAATTAAGGTGTTTTGTCTAGATGCATAGAAAACATCATATTACAGTGCTTTAATTTATGTTAATAAGTGCCATTTTCAACAGTTGGGTTGATACAGTAAAAAATGTGTATTATGGGACAGGAATGGTAGGATAGTAAGTGGTCTTAATCACAAGCTTTTAGCTTATGTAAAAAAAAAATAATAGCATCAGTACAGTCCTGTATTGTAGTTCATAGCTTTTTATTGTTGACCAAACCACACGCTAGAAATTGAAGAGATGACGACGTTTCAGTCCGTTCTGGACCATTATCAAGTTGATTGTTGTCGTCGTCAACAACAGTCAAGTTGATTGTTGTCATCTAGTGTGTGGTTTGGTCAATATTTTTTCAGCCAAGTTATTGTGATTCATTATCTGCATAGCTTTTTATTATTTGTTTTCAGGCCAGATGATGAACGATGGCATGTGGAAACTGAGAGAAAAGAACAGAATATCCGCAGTCACCTGACCATCATCCGTGTTGGCTTGCATGATTCAGGGCACTACCACTGCCATATTAGCAAATCCAACAAAGACAAAATTATTGACAAAAATGTCACCATTCATGTACGGGGTAAGTTTTGATTATAAAATGATGTACATTGCTTTCGGGGCTGAGGAGTGAGGGTGGGTGGAACTGCTTGAACAAGCACTGGTCTGACTCTCACCTGATGGCAGATGGGAGTACAGTAGTTGTTGAGATCACTTGCTGAGTAGTTGTCAGTTTTGTTTCGGCAGTGTGCACTTTTCCACAGCATATCTTAGAGAGAGTTTGGGTATCTTGTTCCCTCTTTTTATTACATTTTAGGGGAGTTGGCCTCAGTATTGGGTTGATCTCTGATACCCCACCTGCTCTTCGATTTGTTAAGAGACAAAGGGAAACTGCAAGGGTCTTTGTTCTCTATAAACAGTGTGAATCTTACATATACGAGTTGTTGTGAGAAAAGTTACCGAGGCTGAGCTCTAAAACCGGGCATTTCATTACAGTGGGTGCTCTATTTACATGGTTTTAATATCCAGTATGGCATAGAAATAAGAGCTGCATCATGTATTATACTTATTATTAATTTTACAAATACATGTACAGTAATTCCAGTAATACTAATTGGTTTCGTGTATGTATGCTGGGACCTATTTAACAGTCTCTTGCAGTTTAAATCGGCTCCTCAATTTAAGCTTGTATTATAATTAATATATAATTTTCCTAATTATAAAGAATACCTTTAAATTTGCAGCTGGACCTGTTTTAATGGAGGCACGGAATGCTACTGTGAGAGTCGGACACAAGGCCAAGCTTTCATGTACTTTTGCTGCCGTCCCTGCCCCTGAGGTCCACTGGCTCAAGGATAAGCTAATGCTTGATAAAGCAAAGGGGTAAGTGCAAATATTTTAGAATGAGCTAATGTTTCATAAAGCAAAGGGGTAGGTGCAAATATTTTAGGATGAGCTAATACAAAGGGGCAAGTACAGATATTCTAGGATGAGCTAAGGCTTGATAAAGCAAGGGGGCAAGTGCAAATATTCAACCCGTTCTCGCACTTGCTTACAGTCAATATTGGCTTATTTAATAAGTGCATATGTGACATACTAATTGATTGTGAATATTTTAGTTTACCTTGAAAAGCTTCATAGAAAACACCAACCTCACCTAACCTTCTTAGTATGTTAAGATAAGCATCTTATTGCTTCTTATTTACAATTATTACTTAACCTATCAACGGTATAGGTTAAGTAATAATTGTAATTAAGAAGCAATAAGATGCTTATTTTAACATACTAAGAAGGTTAGGTGAGGTCGGTGTTTTCTATGAAGCTTTTTACGGTAAACTAAAATATTCACAATCAATTAGTATGTCACATATGCACTTATTAAATAAGCCATTATTGACTATAAGCCAGTGCGAGAACGGGTTGAAATATTTTAGGATGAGGTAATGCTTGAGAAAGCAAAAAATGTTAATTCGGATTTGCATTAAATGGTGTGATTGTGGGTTTGCCTCTACAAGAGTTGATGCCTGATATTTGCACAACCACTGCGTTATTTTCACCGAGGAACCTCACAATTGTGTTTTGCACATTTTTGGACTACATTCTTGTATCATGGCATCTCCCAAGCATTCTACACATCAGTGCTATAAGATGTGGCAATTGGGCACCATTATTTACCCGAACATGTTGACCTGCTCTAGCTGAGTTTGTTACACCAGGGGGTGCTACTGTATCATTACACTATCACTAGAATGTAAATTAGCAGAAAATGTAAAAAGTAAAAAAGAAAATGTAAAAAATGCTAAAAGTAAGTGAAATTGATAAGTTTATCAACACTATACCTACACATTAGAGAAGTAATGACAATTTTGATCTTGAACATATAAATTTGATTTGATAGTGTACCACGACTAACACATCGTCACCTTGTGATGTGTCTGATGTGTTGATTTTGGATGCTATTTGTTCCAGTCATGGTATTGTGACTGAAGATTGCAGAGCATGCACAATATTTAGGCCCAAAATAATGCTTAGGATACTTTCCTTTACCATTTACTTGATGGAAGATCATTATTCTGTTAGTAAAGCAAGTATGATGGTATTGCATTAGAGGGGTTTTGCATTTTAAGGTGTTTTGGTATTGGTTTTGAAAAGTTGGAACATTTTGTTGTTATAGGAGAAGAAATGATGGAAACATGTCATCTGATACATTAGTGTTGTATGTCAAATGATAAAGCACAATAGTACAGTAGTACAGAGGACCTATTTTCCGTTGGTTCAGTACACTTTCAGGGCTAGCAAGGTGGGCATGAGAAAACCAATAGACCCATTCATGTTTGGTGTTTGTAAACAAACTAATTATTGTAACAATAGAACAAATTTTGAACACCCGTAGCAATAATATAGATTGGCATAAATCTTTTCAGGTTCAGTATTGAGACTCGCCAGGAATCAGAACTTCACCTGTCTGATTTGTTTATTGACAATGTCACTCTCAAAGACAATGGAACTTACAAATGTATAGCCTCAAATGAGGTTGGTGCAGGCGACCAAGAGGGTGACCCGTATCTCCTCGTCCAGGGTAAGCTTGCATTCTTTTCACTGGAAAGTTACTGTGCTATTTGGGTATGTATTTGCCAGTTACTATATTGTTTTGATACTATTATAGTTTTTTTCTATACTGTAATATTAATTGCTTGAATGAATTGCTTCAGTTTGCAGGTCACAAGCTGCAATAACAGTCGTGCTATCACAAACAGCAAGGACATGGCTGGTCAAGCAGTCACACTGTCAGTGACTAATTAATTATGCCTCAAAAATACAAGAACTCTTGAATTTGGCTACAAATATATAATTGATGAATCAGTTATGAGAAAATATTTAGGCTGTATACGATGGGATCGAACCCAGCATCCCTGAACTCCTCAGGCGCACGCACTACCAACTGGACCATGATGGGCTAAAAGTATCCCATAGATATATATATATATATATATATATATATATATATATATATATATATATATATATATATATATATATATATATATATATATATATATATATATGTCGTACCTAGTAGCCAGAACTCAGCTTATACTTGGCTTATAAGGCAAATCGGGCCTTGAATAGTAGGCTGAGAAGTGCGTTCTGGCTATTAGGTACGACATATATATATATATATATATATATATATATATATATGTCGTACCTAGTAGCCAGAACTCATTTCTCAGCCTACTATTCAAGGCCCGATTTGCCTAATAAGCCAAGTTTTCCTGAATTAATATATTTACTATAATTTTTTTCTTATGAAATGATAAAGCAACCCTTTTCTCTATGTATGAGGTCAATTTTTTTTTATTGGAGTTAAAATTAACGTAGATATATGACCGAACCTAACCAACCCTACCTAACCTAACCTAACTTATATTTATAGGTAAGGTTAGGTTAGGTAGCCAAAAAAGCTAGGTTTGGTTAGGTTAGGTAGGTTAGGTAGACGAAAAAACATTAATTCATGAAAACTTGGCTTATTAGGCAAATCGGGCCTTGAATAGTAGGCTGAGAAGTGCGTTCTGGCTATTAGGTACGACATATATATATATATATATATATATATATATATATATATATATATATATATGTCGTAACTAATAGCCAGAACGCACTTCTCAGCCTACTATTCAAGGCCCGATTTGCCTAATAAGCCAAGTTTTCATGAATTAATGTTTTTTCGTCTACCTAACCTACCTAACCTAACCTAACCTAGCTTTTTTTGGCTACCTAACCTAACCTTACCTATAAATATAGGTTAGGTTAGGTTAGGTAGGGTTGGTTAGGTTCGGTCATATATCTACGTTAATTTTAACTCCAATAAAAAAAAATTGACCTCATACATAGAGAAAAGGGTTGCTTTATCATTTCATAAGAAAAAAATTATAGTAAATATATTAATTCAGGAAAACTAGGCTTATTAGGCAAATCGGGCCTTGAATAGTAGGCTGAGAAGTGAGTTCTGGCTACTAGGTACGACATATATATATATATATATATATATATATATATATATATATATATATATATATATATATATATAACCTATATATTATATATATATATATATATATATATATATATATATATATATATATATAACCTATATTTATATATATATATATATATATATATATATATATATATATATATATATATATATATATATATATATATATATATATATATATATATATATATATATATATATATATATATATATATATATATTGGATAATTGTGATTTCATTATGTCCATTAATTATTGTGCTGGTGATAATTAAATGTGTTGTTATCTTTGTTTACAGATTTACCAGAAGTGAATTTAACTAAGGTACGTGCTATAGGCACAAGTGAGATACAGTTAGAGTGGACCGTTCATGACAACAACTCCCCAGTACAGCAGACAAAGATCTATGTAAGTTTTCCTCTGTTCTAGCCTCAAATCACTTGACATTTTAATTTTGTAAGAAGAAGCCTTTATTTTAACTGACACAGACAACTCTATTCATAAATATGTATACATGGGCCTAGACTAAAATGTTCATTCTATGTTAAACTGTTATTCACTCCCTCTCTTGGAACACTGAGCTCACACACCAGTGAGTTGACTTTTGTAAGATTTTTTAATGTTTACCTTGGGGGGCACTCGCGCATTTTTTTCTTGACGTTAATTCCTTAGTAATACTGTATGCAGTTATCACAGCCCTCTTTGTAATCCTTACACATTTGTATTTTTAATGGCTAACCTCTAGTGTTATCTGATAGTTTAATGCACAGGTCATTTTTAATTTAACAATTAATAAACCTTTGTTAACATGTCCCCAGAAATTTTTAACCAGGTGAGATTGGTGGCTTTATAAAAAATGTAAATACATATTAAGTAAACATCATAACAAGGGCCTCTAATAAATTTATTTTATAAACAAAACATTTTTATATGTTGTTGAATAATCAAAATGTGCAACAGGCACATTCCCTATCCAATATTTCAGATTACCACTGTTTTCTTGGTCAACCAGATGCTGTTGAGTCTTTCTTTTTTCTGAACCTTCAGAACTCCTTCTGGATCTATCGATCCAAATATAATATTAAATATATAAAATCTATATTTTACCGATCTATCTGTGGTTCAGGGATTGGTTGGGGTTCTGAGTTGAACACTTTGATTACCACTTTTGGGGTTTACCTTTCTGGTTCACTACTTGCAGACTGACTTGAGTGATTCTCTGCAAATTACATCATGAAGAAGTTAGTGTTCTGGCCTTCTGGTCTACCTCGACGACTAGCTGTTTTGGGAATAGCAGTCATCGGTCCTGTTTGCTAGTGAGGGATCATATTCTTTGCAAACTGGGTTACTTCGGCTTCTTGGAGAATCTGAGGAAGTTGCAGTTGGTGCCAGCCCAGCATCTTTCTCGTTTGGGGTTGGTTTGGAATACCAGTGTAGTGTATACCTCTAGACATCACAACCAATCTCCTAGTAAGAGCACAGGGCGTGCAACTTGTCATTGTTATCCACTGCTAGGATCATATCAAATCTGCACACTGAAGTTAACATCTGGCAAACAAACAGAAAACATGGCATTTGCATACAGCCAATCAGGGATCAGCACACCACATTACTGAGTCCTCACTGATCCTAGCCATGACCTTACAAGGCAGCCTTGGCACATGTTGGAATGCCTACATTTAGCCGGTGCAGTTTACCCTTTAATTTGGATATAACGGAAAGTCTTGTACATTGCCATTTTCTGCACTTGTCACTCTGCTGTGTGTAGTGTGAACCCCAGACTTTTGTGTAGTATTTCAGTGATTGCGAAACATATCTTGGATGAAGGTTAAGTGATTTGTGATCTTTTTGTGGGAGGTTCGTCTCTGTAGTCAGTTGAGTAATCACCACGTGCTCTGCATCCAGTTGAGGGAGGCAATATGGAGTTGAAAAATAAGTCTTGTCCTTAGTTGTAAAGATTGTTAATGTTAAAGAAGCCTGGCATATCAAGTATGTACCTTACTTATAATTCTGGATGTCAGGGATAGGAAGCTTGTTTATGCTTATTGAGATCCTCCTGTGCCAACTACTGATCTGCCGCTGGATTCAGCCCACGTCGCTTGCCTAACTCCCAGGTACCTATTTACTGGTAGGTGAACAGAGGCATCAGGTAAAAGGAAACATGCCCAAACATTTCTTTTCTGTGATCCATGATAGTGTGTCAAGGACATAGACCACTGTGCTACAGATCCAGCTGATCCCAGAAAGGGGCACTTGGTTACACTGAATCCATTATTTTTTAATGTTAAATTAATAACTGTCACCAGCACATTCAGATGCTTACAAGTCTTCACCTTGCTGGAAACTGTATTCATTGTGTTTACCTTCATACATAGAACACTATGAATTTTATTTCATATTATGGCATGTTTCAGAACAAAACAAACTGGATATAGAAAGCTGTAGAGATATTTATTGAATCTAATTTTATATAGTTTTACACACTCCATATTGTTTTTAGATTGCTACGGGTGATAATGACTTTGGTGAATCTTCACTGCTTCCCGAGGATCAAAAGAATATCATATTGGACGACGTTGGCTCGCCTGGTGAGGAAGTTCGTGTAAAGCTTGAAGTTACCAACGAAGTTGGAGTGAGTGAGAGTGATCCTGAAACAGTCACCTTGCTTAGTGAAGGTAAGTTATTGTAGCACCGTATAAGAGTTTTATGGTTTAAGTCTTAAGAAGTGTACAGAAAATAGTGAAATGATTTGTTTTGATACACTACACACTTGGTTATTAGGTATTCTCTAGTATGGTTTTGTAATGTGTTTATCTAACTTAAGAATGCCTTTGTCATAGTGATTTTAAACCTACGACACTGATGTATAATTATAAACTAGCTTCCCATTATCTCTAGTCCAGTGCCAGCTGTGGATATTATTTTATGTTTAACTGTTCTAAGAGATAATTGTTTAACTTGTGAGAGAGAAGCCCAGGGAGTTTTAATAGCAGTGAGCTCTTGACACCTTACAGCTGGCTCAATAGAGCAACATGACCCGTAGTACTTGAGGCCTACAAGAAAAGGCATAGAAGCAGGTACTGTAAATGTCAAAATGCTGTGGTGTACCTCATGCCACTGAGCAAGCAGGAACAAGGAGCTGGCTTCACTACTTCCCCAGTGGCCAGTATACCATTAACGTAGACGAGTGGTCTTAATAATTACAGTATCCACGAACTTCTACTCCACACTTCCCCTGTATTTCATTATCAATAACCTACTGTAAACACATTCACTAATACATATTAATTAATACCTTACAGATAAGATTGACACACCTTGATAAAAGTACAGGACACACAGATGGCAACATCACCATGTTCATTCGAGCATTGTTAATTTGTATCAGCTAACGACCACTGGTCTGACAAAAGATTTTAACTTTATAATATTGTATCCATTCCTTATAAATTACATCAATTAAATTTATAATTGAATTAAGATTATTTACCAGAATCTTCTGGAAATCTTAATTGAATTAAGATTAATCACCAAAATCTTCTGGAAATCTTAATTGAATTAAGATTAATCACCAGAATCTTCTGGAAATCTTAATTGAATTAAGATTAATCACCAGAATCTCATGGAAATTCTTAACAAATGTAATAGTAATAATTATATGTTAGAGCTCATCCGTTACCCAATCTAATAAATAAAATGATCTACCTAGGCCTACATTGATTGGCAAAGCAGTTTCACACAATTTCACAATATATGCAAATAAGAATTCTACACAATTGTATAAAAGGGGACCTTTAAATTAAGTAGAAAGCTTACTGGTAAATTGGAATACATTTTTTGATCTCATGAAAACACTATATTGGCATATACATTCCTACTGCAACATTTTAAACTAGGCAATATGCACTTTTCTAGCTAATTACATATGCTCACAATGGTTCATCAATTAAACTCAAGCTATTTCAATAAAGTTATGCTGAGGCCTAAGGCCTAGTCATAACAGCCTGGTAGGTGACAGATGGGTCATGGAGGCCTTACCTGTTATGTTAAATTGGTACTACAGTACGTGTATAGTTCGGCTCGGGGAACTACTGGCGGCCCACCAGAAAGAGGCATTCCATTTCATTCAATACTTAATCAGTTTACATTAGTTATATATTAATCTAAAATTCATATTTACATTGAGTTGTGCATAAATATTACCTTGGATTCACTCTGCGGCTGTTTGGATAGACACTGCATCTGATGGTAAAGGTAAGATGCATTGCGGTTTGTAGTTACCAGCTGAGATATAATAGCAAGCCTGTGATCTTACTTGGTGTAGGTACAAGGACAAAGACACAACTTGTGCATTCTCTCTCCTGCGGTCTTGTGTCTTGCACAATAGTAAGTTACTTTGAAGTGTGCACTTTAATACCTGCATGTGTTGTCTTTTTTGTTCTTCAATGACAGTACCAGTATTTCACTTAGAATGGAGAAAAGTAGAGATTATGTGTCAGTTTTCAGTAACACAAGCGTATTCCCAATACGCACCTCTCAATCTCACAGTCTCTCTCGTAGATACACCCTTGTCTTTCATTGCCTTTCCTTCATGCAGCATGTATGCATAGCATTCATATATACAGGAACATATGCATAGACATACACAAACATGTACACACATGCAGGTGTGTGTACATATAAGCACATGTTTTGGATTTGTTCATTTGATGCATCACGCTATTGTGAGCTCTGTGTGTACATGTGTTTGCTCACATGCACTTCTAAACACATGCAGGCATGCATACACATCAGTACTTGTTCTCATATGAACATATACACACACACAAAATTTTTTAGAGGCAGGTACAAACAGAGGGAGAAACAGACAGGCAGAAACGTGGCAGGAGTACGGATGGAGAAGGGGAAATGCCCAAGACTGGACTACGGTTCGTCATCAAGCCCACACGTACTACACCCCCCAACTACAGAGAGACTATCACACTCCCCAGTATCACTTCCAAAGCTGGACAAACCATTGCCACAACAACACACCCTGGGTCAGGGTAGAGAGGAGGGAGAACTACCAAAACCTTCCAGAAGTGGCACACAATATGGACAATCATTCATATTTGGAAACATTCAAGGTTTAAAGCCAAAGTCAAGAAATAAAGTTAAGTTCATAAATGGCCTCCTATTAGAGTCAAACTCAATATTTGGGGCATTCACGGAAACTCATACAAAAGATTACATGGATGGTGAAATCTGGATTCCAAATTATAATTTATATAGATGTGATAGAAAAACTAGGTCAAATGGAGGAGTAGGTCTGTATATTAAAGAAGACCTGGTATGCACAGAACTACTAAACTCAACTAATGAGGTGGTAGAGGTACTTGGAATTAAGGTAGAGAAACTAAACCTAATTATTATTCTAATATATAAACCGCCAGATACAACGATTGAGGAATTCACAGAGCAGATGCACAAAATAGAGAACATACTTGACAACCTAGTAAACCCAGCTCCAGATATTATCTTCCTTGGAGATTTCAATTTACCGAGTCTAAGATGGAGAATGGCAAACACAAATATCATAGCAGGGGATGACCCGGGAAATAACCAACCACAGGTCAGAGAACTTTTGAGATTCTGTGACAAATTCTCGCTCAATCAACAGATTACAGAACCAACTAGGAACGAAAACACACTGGACTTGTTATTCACAAACAATGATGAACTAATCAGAGACATCACAATCTCAGATACTTCATACGCAGACCATAAGCTCATTGAAGTGTGAACTAGCATAAATAACGGTAGTAGGTCTAAGAGACCCAACATGCGAGAAGGAATATTCAATCAATTCAATTTCAACAATAAGAGGATTGACTGGGAAAAAATAAAAGTAGACCTTGCAACCATTCAATGGGAGGCGGTCTTTAAGCGACAAAACTCCCACACAGGGAATAGCTCAATTGACAGCTGAAGCTTACAAGGTCTGCTTGAAGCACGTACCTGTGAGGAGGGGCAGAAAGAGGACCACTCTAGAAAGAGAACGCAGACGACTGTACAGGAAAAGGAAAAAAATAACGGAAATGCTTCGGCAGACACAACTATTACAAGCAAGGAAAAAAAGCCTAAGCAGGGAGATCGAAGAAATAGAATAAACGTTGAAGCGATCATATGAGTCTGAGGAAATGGAATTGGAACAGAAAGCTATACAAGAGATAAGGAAAAATCCGAAATATTTTTTCACATACGCAAAATCCAAATCCAAAACCTCGACCAGTATTGGACCGTTAATTAAAAATGAAGGTACGTACACAGAGGACAACAAAGAGATTAGTGAAATTCTAAGAAGCCAGTATGAGGCTATGTTTAGCACACCAATAAACAACATGAAAGTTGATGACCCAGACAGCTTCTTTATGAATGACATTCAAGCTGCAGATAATATAACGGATATTACCACAAACTCGGAAGACTTTGAAAGAGAAATTGACAATATGCCTATGCACTCAGCTCCTGGGCCTGACTCATGGAATTCAATATTCATAGAGAAATGTAAAGTACCAGTAGCGAGAGCACTCAGCGTAATATGGAGAAAGAGCCTGGATACAGGGGAGATACCAGCAGCCCTTAAATCTGCAGATATAGCTCCGTTGCACAAGGGGGGGGAGTAAAGCCTTGGCAAAAAATTATAGGCCAGTTGCACTAACATCACACATAATAAAAGTGTTTGAAAGAGTGATTAGGAATCAAATTTCTAGTTTTATGGAAAACAGTGAATTGCACAATCCAGGACAACATGGATTTAGAGCAGGAAGATCCTGTCTGTCACAGTTACTCAACCACTATGACAAAACCACAGAAGTCCTAGAAGAAAAGCAAAATGCAGATGTTGTATACACAGACTTTGCAAAGGCGTTTGACAAATGTGACCATGGGGTCACATTTGGGGGGGTGATAGCTCACAAAATGAGGTCAATGGGAATAACTGGAAAAGTAGGACGCTGGATACTCAATTTCCTGTCGAACAGAACACAAAGAGTAACAGTCAATCAGATAAAATCGAGTCCAAGCGATGTTAAAAGCTCTGTACCTCAAGGTACAGTCCTTGCACCGCTACTGTTCCTTATTCTCATATCTGATATAGGCAAAAATACACGTCACAGCTTCGTGTCGTCCTTTGCAGATGACACAAAAATCAGCATGAAAATTACCTCTGCTGAAGACATTGAAAAACTACAAGCAGATGTCAACAAAGTTTTCGATTGGGCAGCAGAAAATAACATGATGTTTAACAGTGATAAATTTCAGGTACAGTACTCAGGTACGACAAAAATGAGGATCTGAAACACAATACAGGGTACAAAACACAATCGAATCTTCCCATAGTAGAAAAACAGAATGTCAAGAATTTGGGAATAATGATGTCCGACGATCTAACGTTTAGGGAGCATAACCAAGCAAATATCGCGTCAGCCAGAAAAATGATCGGCTGGATTACGAGAACTTTCAAATCCAGGGATCCCATCACAATGGTTGTACAGGTACTCTTCAAGTCACTTGTGTTGTCCCATCTCGAGTACTACTCAGTACTCGCTTCCCCCTTTAGAGCAGGAGAGATTGCTGAAATAGAGGGAATACAGAGAACATATACGGCACATATAGACAAGATAAAACACCTAAA